TTTATTAAACTTTGTCAATTTAAGTAAATTGCTGAACGAAAATACAGAATTCTAATTCACCGTTCATATCACTACATTTATTTAGGTTAAAGAGTGGGTTGCATAAAGTATAATATATAACATATAATATATATTTTTTTGTAATCGATTAAAAGGCTTTATAGTAGCAACAACAACAACAACAACAACAGCAACAACAACAACGACCAAGCGATATGGTAAAACTATTAAATCTTTTATTACAAAAGCATAGACTCGTATCCATAATTTGTGCCTCGTATCCATGTAATTTTTATGACCTGTACGAAATAATTTAATGACCTGCGGTCAAAAAGTGGAGTTTAGGTAAAAAACAAAAAAAAAAAACCAAAAGAATCAAGTGAGCTGCAACCGCAACAGTTTTTATGTGGCGTTGTTAGTAATTGTTACTTGCAGCTCTTTTAGTATTTATGTGAAAATTATTTCTGAATGCTGCTGCATTTATTGGTGTACAATGCCAGATGAATTTATGAATTGGTTTTATGCGCGATTTTGAGATTGATAGTTACAGATAATGCAAACGAAAGCTTTTACTTAGGCTATAATTTAAAGAAAAAATATTAACAAAAAAGTGGTATGAGTTTCAAAATGAAAAGCAATGAAATTATTGGGGAAAAGGGAAAGTTTTTTTAATTTTAATTAATTTTCTTCTTTTCGAAACAAAAGACATACGTAAGTGTTATATTTAATTATTTTAAATATCTGTTTTGTTTTTGTTTCATTCATATGCAAATGGAAAATATCAAAATTAACCAAATTAACCAAAATTTTACCACTAAATGGTTTTGAAGCAATAAAGTGCAACATTTTAATGAGTAAAATCGTTTTAGTAATTTTAATTTTTTACGCCTTTAATATTCATAATCGATTTTTCGTACCAAATTTTCTTTGGCATGTCGATGATCTCTGCCATAAAAAATCATATCAAATTTCAATTGACACCTTTTCACATCATGAAATCAAAACTAAAAACACTCGACAATCAAGTCAGGCACTTGGATTAATCGGATCAAGTGGGTCTTATGAGTGGTTGCGTTAGTTTTCTGTTTTTTTACACTGAATTTTTGCAAGTTTTCAATGAGTTCGCAATTTATTCGCCACTTAAATTGTAAGGTGTTGCTTCGTATTGGTGTTAAAGTGCACAATTAATGCCAATAGAGTTTGAGCACCAAAAAGGTATTAAGGAAAAAATGATTGAATTTTGTTGACATGTTTGAATTGCTTGTCTTTGTCAGCTAAAATTAATACAAAAACAGTAAACAAAAAAAAAAAAAATTTAATGTTCATTATATATGCAAAATTAATTAAAGTTTTATAAATTTATAATTGCCTTTGAAAGGCTTAAAACTAAGATATTAATGAGATAATAAATATTTATAGGAATCAAAGAAATCAGTGTTATACATTAAGCCATGATTGGTTTTTATCTATATTATAAACAATCCAATTATACAACTTTTTTATATGATTATATATCATGCATTGATATATCTTTTACTTTCATAATTACAATTGTATTAGCAAGGTCAACTTTTTTAATTTATTATTATTAAAATTGTAAATAACTAGATATTATCAATTATCGATTAGCAATTAACTTTTAATTGGTATTTTTAATTTTTGCTTTTATAATGTATTTTCTGACATAACGCACTTTTCATATTGTTATTTAATTAAAATGAAAGACTTCAACATTTCTTTGAGAAAATTAAAGTGTGCATACTGAGAGATAGATAGAATTTGATATAATTTCTTGAAAGAATTACGATTACGAAAATCGCTTACTAAATTACAAGTAGTATATTTAAATAATCAAATAACACCCTAAGGATAATTTAAATAATTTTACTTAAAATGTATATGTGCATCTCTATTAGTTATATAGTAAGATTTAGGACAATTCTAAACAAGATTATATATACTAGTTATATTTTTGAAAAATGACGTATGTAAGTAATATCGGTAGGACTCCAATTTATAGTTTTGGTTACATTTATTCAACCTAGATTAAATCAAGAAAAGAAAATTTTCTTGTAATTCTGTTATTATATCTCTAATATACAATCTAGATTCAACCTAGATCGAATTAAGAATAGTAAAAGCAAAAATGTTCATGTAATTATGTGATTATATCTCTGATATGTTCTTAACTGACAACAAAAATAAATAACGAAATAGGACACTAGAACGGAATGTAAAAATTTAAATATAACTACTTATCTTATTTTTAATAAGAACTGAAAAAATATATCAAATTATATAAATTTGAACTATGAACCATTCTTTTTAAAGAGAAGATGACAAAAGCCTTGACGCTCGAGTCAACTTTTTTAAAGAATTAAAACACGTCCATTTTCTTTTTTGAATGGATAATCAAGCAGGATGCCTTAAATTTTTTACTTAAATTTTTCCTTTAAGTTTTCTGGCGGAGTTTTGTATCTATTTATAATATCGTAAAAACCGATTTATGCCTATAATTCTGTTCGCCTTTGGCATATTTCATAATAAGTATATAACTAATTATTTCCAAAAAAATTGATATTATTCAAAATATTTGAGTACTGTTGCAACATTCTTGCTAACCACTGAGTTAAAGAACTGAATTATCAATACAACTATGAAGAGATGGTGCTTCTCAGCAGAACAAAGCTGTAAGGTTCCTTAGTAGGTTAATTACGCGACATCATGAGACTGTTAATAACATTTTTTCTGATTATCTGGCTTTTATCTGACCTATAAGTTTTCAAGTCATTTTAAATTTAGGAAATCGTTTATAAGATACATTTCGATTTTCATTTAAAAGATCAAATGTTTTTTGTTAGAATCTATCATGGTCTCCGTGCTTCGCTTTGTTAAGAGTCCAGAACCCTGTCAAATTCAATTTTATTTTATACTATTGTATTATACTATACTGCTCTATTACATTTTTAATCATTTTATACTACACTAATCCATTTAACTTCATTTTATCACCTTATTAATTTTATTCTTTTCTAGGCTCAAACTAAATTACGTGTATTTATTTATTTAATATTACACTATTCAATTTCAATTTGTTTTATTATTTTATTTAATTCTATTGTTTTAAAGGTTCAAACCAATTTAAGTGAATTTAATTATGCTAAAATTTTGCTTATAAACTTAGTAGTAGAACTTTGAGGTAAAATATCAATATTATTAATATTATATCTACTTTTTATTATTATTTCAATTAGCAACTTTTCAAAGAATGCTAAGAGTAAGTACACAATAGAAATCTAATAGTCTTTCTGTAATTTATTTCGAATTTCCAACGGATTTATAAGTAGAACTTTGAGTTGAAATATCAATATTATTTAATATTATACCTACTTTTTATTATTCCTTCAATTATCAACTTTTTAAAGAATGCTAATAGTAAGTACACAATAGAAATTTAATAGTCTTTCTGTAATTTATTTCGAATTTCCAACAGATTTTCACAGCCAATATATGAAAACAATACTATACATGGTAGAATCGAATGTGTTATCAGTGATAAACTTGAAACGGATATCTAGCTGATATATGGTTTAAAGTTTTAATTATTACATTATAAGACACGTAGTTCAAACATTTTTTGCAACTTTCTTCAAGTAATCATAATCTAAATAAAATTAATTATCTTTCATATTTGAAAGAATTTAAAGCACATTTTTTAATATAATTTCTCTATTGATTTGTAAAAAGCATTTCCTAAATGAAAAAGAAATTTATATATGCCGTTATATCAGTTTCACCATAAATCAATCAAATTTCTTATTTAATTAAATAAAATTTTCCTGTCTAGCGAAAAGATTAATATGCTTAACGCCTATCACATTTCCTCAAGTATTTTAGCCGTAATGTTAGCAATTTTCATTAGTCATCTTAGACTTTAATGGGAGACTTAAAGATTAAAGCTAAAACCCATAAAACCATATCTAATAGGAAATGGCAGGGGAAATTAATAACAAATTTATTTGATAAATATTGCAACTTAAATGAAAAAAAAAATAATAAAATAATAATAAAATAGCGCATATTCAACGGTATTAAAACCGCGAAGAGGGAAAACACGTCAATGTGAAATTTTTATTTACTGCAACAGGCCAAATTTCATTAAATGCACAATTACAAAATAAAATTACCATCAAAATGTGTGTATTTGTTGTGTGTAAGATTAAAATGATTCAAAAAAAAGTTGAAGGAGCACAAGGAAAAAATTATAATATTTCTTTTTTAAAATTCGAATTACAGTAAATACTGCATGTTTACGGAAAATGATTAAACTTCTACAATTTCCTTTCACTTGCGCGACATGAACACGCACGACACCCATTCGAATGTTCGCCTGATTATGGATGTTGCGGAAGGTGAATGTAAAAAATTGCAGCAGTGTCGATGCAACAATATCAATTTCTCAGTCACATGTTGCAGATCTTTGCGGCATCTAAGATACTACTAAGATACACATATGTGCCACTGACAAGATAGAAGATACGAGATTTAATAAGTCTATATAGAATTAAGCAGTCTGTTGTAGTTTGTATTACCCCCCTCCATTGCCCCCCTCAGACATTTTTGTCTGAGAGAGTGAAAAACGTAAGACTAATTAAATAAATAAGCTTGCAGCAAAATCTGCAGACGAAGCATAAAATTAAGAAATTTAACTTTGCACATTGCAGTGCAATTGAGTAAGCGGGAATGTGACGGAAAAAAATACTCGTATATGAGTTTTGTTGTTTATGTAAACTGAGTCATGCCCATAAAATGCATGCAAATCAGTTGCTGCTTTGCAACGTTAAAATTTGCTTACAATGCAGTTTAACAGTTTAGCGGTTGGTTGTGCGTGTATGCAAATCTGCATGCTTCATGGTCACATGTTGTTGCACGGTCAGTACAATCATAAAAAGATATAATATTTTCATTCATGGACCAAGCCAAGTCCATGTCGTACGTACCTTGTTTGGCGACACATGCCATGACCTTCTTGTGCCTTGACGCTGCTGTTGCATGAATTGTGTTGTCTGCTGTTGTTGTGTTGTTTGTGGCTGCGGTTGATTCAGGTATGTTTGACTTGCACTGATGGAACCATTTGCGCTTCCACATATACTACCGTTACCACTACCAGTGCCACTGATTATCGACGAGTTCTCATATTCTGCTGAACAAATTGAACTGTTCAATGTGACTGTGCTAGCTGCGAGTGATGGCGTTGGAGATGATGCTGGTGATGGTGAAAAGCAACCAGAATCGTATGAATTTAATATACGTAGACGATTGCCAGGACAGAGACCCTATGTAATGGAAAAAAAATTAAGTTGTTTTACGTAAAAGAACAAAATTTACAGAAATTAAGATATATTAGTAATTACGTGGTATAAAATAAATCACTAAGACTATTTTTTTCGTAAAATAATTTTTGTTATGTTGAATTTTAATAAAAATTAAATTGTTGGAACTTATAAGAAAATATCTTTGAGATAATCATAAGCTTATGTTTGACAAAAACAATTGTATGCACTTTTTTCAATATTAACGGAAAACCTACTCAATATCGTTGTTTTTAATTTTAAAAATGTTACTGCATTTTGCTTTTTTGTAAAACTTTTTTTGGTGCAATTTTATTTTGTTTCTTAGTGCAGTTAAGTAGCATTTATTTTATTACTTATTTTATCACTCTTTTGAAGCTTATAATTCATATATTGATTATTGTGTTAGTGTGTACAGTATATTTTTTATTTAAGATGATTGAAATACATCTATTAATTATATACAATAAGTTTCGTTTACCTCTTCCATTTTTCATTTAATAAATTTATAACTATAATTTTTACTACTACTCAAATAAAAAAAACATGTTCTGTTCTTTTGCCTTTTTTCAACAGCTGTAGCTTCGGAAACAAATATTGCAGGGTTGCAATCAGGAGTGACAAATTCTACGTGTATATATGTATATATAAATGTACTATACCATGTTTACATTACGAACTTCTACTATTGAACTTTTCTAGTTCCCAAACGTTTACATTAGTCGTAATTTTTTCTTTCAGAGTTGTAAGAAAACAGTATTAAGTCTGGTTGAAACAAATTGGCATCACTTTTAAAATATGTTAAATGCTTTTTTTGACATATGTTTTTTGTTGTGTTGAACACAATATGAAATATAAAATAAATAATAATATAAAATCATTAATAATATAAAATCATTAATAATAAATAAAAAAACAACAAAATGAATAATAGAGGAGCAATGGTAAGCATTTTTTATCTTATTGCTTTGATATATTGCAATTTGTTATTATTTCTGCACATATGATTTTGAAGAATGACTGGAGTTTCGCAACATAATTGCAGTAAACGTTTACAATAGAAGAATTTTTGAATTTGGTTGCACTGAAAGTTAAGACGTAAAATTTTTGGCGAATAAATTTTAACTCTGAAGATTTTAAGAATATTCTTGTTACTTCACATGTTTTTTTCGTGCAAGTATTTTTTTGCTACTCTGACAAAAAAATTACGGCTATTATCGCTTCGGGTTTCGGGAGAAAGTTGCTCATTTATTTGGTTAAGGGTTCACACCGATAACAATCGATAAGTATTCTTGTAAGAACTCAGAAAATAATTGAATACAAGTGCCTACAGAGCATTGACAGTATATTTATATATGCATATATAAATTCAAACAAACCCATTTATTTATTTGGAATATTTGCTAACTGAAATCAGAAATACAATTGATTTGTTCTTCATCTGCAATTAAATTCTGTTCATTGAATCAATTAAAATAAAACTGTTTTAATAAATTTAGAACAATTTTTATTGAAAATGCAATTCAAAATTATATTAAAAATTTGATTAATATATTGCATTTATGATGGATGCATTTTTATTTAAATCGAAATTTTATACTCCAAATAAAGTAACCATCAGAACACATTCGTGTTCATGTTTAATGAGAAAATTTTTAAAATTGCTATTAAAATTCTGATGTTTAATTTTATTGCAAGTATTTAATTGTAAGTTTTTGCGAGATTTTTATGTTGCTCATAAATGTTGTGTTTTTGTATTGCCGGTGGCAGTGATTGCTCCAAATACTTTTACAACACAACACATGTTGGCAACATGTGCGTCACACGTTTATGTTATTATTGCTGCTAGTGTCATTGTTGTTGCTGCCTTTGCTGTTGTCGTTTAGCGCTTTTTCATTGCTGTTGCTGCTGCTGCTGCTGCTGCTGATTGTTGAACATATTTGCAATTGACTTTTGGGTTAATTGCTTCTATTAAAATGTTTTTACTCGTATACTTTTTAATTAAAAATAATTTTTTGTGCTGTTATTTTACGCCGCAGTTACTGTCAGTTACGCTACTGTTACTTTTTAATTTAAAATATTTTCAATTAAAAATTGTTTATAATTTTTCGACATTAAATAATATTACTCTGAAACTTTTATTAGATAACAAAGTATAAGACTAAAGATATTAGTATAAAAAATTAATGAAATTAGGTTTTAACTTTTTTGTTGTTCATTTTAATTATAGCTATAATTTTCATTGAAGGCCCTAAAAAAAGCCTATATAATTAAACTTTAGTTAACAAGTAATATGTCATAATATTTTATACATGTGTACTATAAATACAAACAGACATAAAACCTTTTACTTCAAAAATTTAGCAATATTTATAATATTAAAACGAGGGCTGGTTGAAAGGTCAATGATACATGAAAGTCTAAGCCATACGATTTATAAAAACCTTTCTAAAAAGCAAAACCACAAATTTTGTAGCTTGTTTGTGAATTGTTTTTGTTGCCAATTCAATTTAAGATCATTTACAATATTTTTGCATAGGCAAAAAATCATAATTGCGTATATTATTATTTAAAATTTTATAAAAAATTTTATAAAAAAAAATAATTATAAGACGACCTTAGGTTAAGGTTTTAAATTATATTAAAATTATATTATAGCTGGTGAAAACAATTAAGCATAATACTACCAAAAGTAATATTAAAAATAAATAAATTAATAATAAATAATAATAATATATCATTAAAATAATAATAAAAAAATTAATAGTAATATACAAGGCAAAGCATGAACAAATTGAGTGAACAAGAAAAGGTTATTAATAATATAAATATAAATAATTTAGAATTATAAAAAAAGTAAAGTATTGTATACAAATAAATGATGGATATAAATGTTGTTTTTTTTTACAAAATTTAAATATCATCTATCTTTTAATCAAGACATACTATTATAGTTTCTATGGTCTTCAATACACAAATTTAAAGATAGTTTGCACAAATTCCGCTCTATTATGGATAAACTGTGCTTTAGAGAAGGAACGTTTTTTACAAAAAAATGTTCTCGATATAATTTTACGTATTAATATATAAAAAATTATTAAAAAATCTATACCAATTTTAAATTAAACCAAAAATTTGAAATAAATAATAATGTTCTTAAAAATGATCAAAATTTTCTTAAAAGGAATTCACTTTTATTATAATTTGCTAACCCATATCAATATAAACATATTTAAAATATTACATAAAAATTATTTTAATAAACTAAAAATTAAACAAACTATTAAAATAAATTATTGACGGTTTTCTAATTGAATTTTGCTTTCAAGTATACTTTTCCTTCACACCGTGTCTCTCGGTTAATACTGAGAATGGACCCTATGTTTTAAAATGAAACCAGGAAGTGTCTCTGGATATCACAATATGTTTCCAAAGCAAACCTTGTATAATACACAATATTTTTGACACATCTATCGTAAAGTTGTTGACATATGAACGTTTTTAAAAATCCTATTGACTAAAATCAGAGCATCTTAAATAACAACAATTATGATTTGATTCAGCTATATTCCTATAATTCAAAATCAAACTAAATTTAAAAAACAAAAAATGCAACAAATAAAATTTATTTCTAACATATTAATTTATTATTATATTTATATTATATATATTTATTTATTATTATATTTATTATTATATTATTATTTAATTTATTATTTATATTTAATTTATTATGTCAGTGCTTTGAATAAAGAATCGGACGAAAAATATATAGATATTAAAATGATTTGATAAAATGTAAAGAAAAATGTGCTTCAATGTTAAGTTTAACATCTTTTGTATTTATAAATAGCATATTTCAACGAGTATAGTAAAATATAGTTTGAAAGATTTTCGTGAAGTGTTTAACATTCGAGTATAGGTAGTCTTTGTTCTGATTTATAATACAATTAAATTCTTATGTACTATAAAGTTAATACTCAAATATCGTGAATTAAATTATATTAACTCATTATATATAAAAGAATCAAACTAATTCTTGATTAGATGGTAAACTCTTAACATGCTTATATGTATGAGGCCCTTGGCTCCACTGGGAAAGAGGACTGCAGTATGTAAGTATGTATGATATTTAATATTTTATTATTATCTTTTTAAAAATATAATATAAATATAAAACTTATACCTTATAAGTTATGATAACTAAATTTGTACTAACTCAGATTTTCATTTAAAATTTAGCATTCCTAGCAGTATATACTTATATATTGATAAATACTAATACTAATTGAATATTCACACAATTGCTACTAAAAATGTTCACACATATAAAAAAGTTTATATACATTCCAGACTAACATATCTTGGTTAATATATATACTCACATACTAAATTGCTACATTCCAACATGTTTAAAAGCCATAAATAAAAGTTCTTAAGTAAGGGTGCAATTATGTGTATGTTACAGAAAAAGATTTATATGCAAAATCTTAGGTATAGGAATATGCTGGTATATGCTGGAATTTTGCTCCAGTTTTATATTTCTGCATGAAAATTATGTCTACTGATTCTGAGACTGCCAGTCAATGCCAATCACAGCGTGAAGTTTCTGATGGCAAAATACTTGCTCAACCAATTAGCTGAGTAAAATATAGAACACTTGAAGCTAAGTTTTGTTTAAAAATACATTAATTTGTTTAGTAAATGCTTACGATATTATGGTATTATGCTAACATGTATCTTTGGTTTACGATTATTTAAATAATTTAAATGTAATATGTTTGCTTTATAAAATACAATTTACTTTTCAAACTTACTTGTCTTCCACGCAAAGTGCACAGCCACCAACCTTCAATGCCATCTGTATCCTGTTCGATGACTGTGAGTACGTCACCTTTCTTAAATGCTAACTCATCTGATGTATCAGCCAAGTTATCGTATATGGCTTTGGCATATAGTTTCTATAAAAAAAGGATGAGTAAAATTAATTATTTATAAACAAGAGTATGATAATTTATGGTTAATTTAATTTTATATATATATGATGAAATTATTTTGATTAATTTCTATTGCATTATGATTGAAGAGGATATAGAATAAATAAAAATAATATGGATTAAAAGTACATAGCCCTGTTTAAATGTTGCCTTTAGCAATTTAATTAAATACTATACAATTAAAAATAATTTATTTTTTTAGATTCTTTATGAATAAATAATAAAAACTCAATGATAAACTCAATGATGTTGGTTTATCTGCTTATAAAATGTTTTGAAACTGATATAATTATAATGTAGAGAATTTTTTTATTTTTTTAATCTAAGACATTAAAATGGAGTTGAGAACTTATACTTGACATTCGTTCACAACAGTGACTAAGCATTTTGTTTAGATCAAAATGCCTTTAATCAATTTAAAATATTTCAAAGTGGCTTCGAGCTGTTTGCTTATGGCTTCTTGTATTTATCAGGTAGTTTATAAAATTGTATCTTCTAAATTGTATTGTTTCCAGCAACCTTTTTTATGTTTTAAATTAAATAAAAATCTTTTTTGTTTTTTTTTTTTTTGTAAATTCAGAAAGCAGTTTAAGTTGGTGAAGCGCGCTGCCTTTTAATGGCTCATAATAACACAATTTTATGTTGTTCTCTTTGTTTTAAATTTTAATTTTTACTTCTTTTTTAATTTTTGCGCTAAAATACAAAATTTTAATAGTGGCAAAAAATAATAAGGTATGCAAACTTTGTAGTTACCTGGAATTTAAAATTTAACAAGACCTAATCTTACGGTTTAAAACGTGTTATATCAAATATATGAATTCAAAGAAAAAAAAATATATATATAAACATATATATTTATATGAAAAGTATCCAGAAGATAAGCTTCATGGATTTAATTTCACTTTAACTTGTTTTTCATTTTATGCTATATACATATGTATGTACTAGTAAGTTAAAGTGAGAATAATATTTTCTTCCATTTCGGTTTGAAAACAACTTAAAACTGTTTGTAGTGTAAAGTATCTGAAGTTTGAAACTTGTTTGTGTTTTATTATTTTTATGCGCTACATTGAATTCAAGTATCTCAAATATGTCATTAAGCACTTAAGAAGTGTAAATAAGTAATTGGACAAGTGCATGTAAAATGTAAGATAACATTTCAGTAAATAATCTAAGAGATTTTTATTTAGTTGTTACTTATTTATTTGATTTACTCTTGTATTATTAATTTTTTGCCTTTTTTTATTTGCTAAAATAATTGATTTGTTTAAATTTTAAATAGTAAAAAAAAAAATATAAAATTTTTAACTTGTTTCAAATCATTTCATGGTGGTGGTTATGGTTTATGCAACTTTAAATGTACTAAAATGTGTTTTTATAGTACAATTAATAGTAATAAGGGAGCTCATTAATGACGAATCATCAAAAAAAATTTGATTTATAATACATGAGTTACATACTATTATTATATGTGTAGTTAATTAGTTGTGGTGAAGGGAGGACCAAATCCTCTTTAATAAGCTAAGAAAGCCGTTTGGAATCTACACATCCTCGTAATAACGGGTAATAAAGAGAAGATCAAGCTAGAATCCAACTAGAGGCATTTATAAAGGCAAGAATCTGGTCAATGGTAATGCTAGAGATATCACCGAGTTGGTTGAAAATGTGGGCCTCAGAAGCCAAGGACTTGCCAAGCCTGGATATAGACACAGCAGGTGTTCTGGTTTCCTTTTTTCGACAGCTGAGACGTATTGTAGAAGATACCAAGGGTAGACCAGGCCTAGCTCTATGCTAGTCCTATGGTGTATTATATGTACACATCATATAAATAAAAATATGTGGATATACTAGTCGCCATTAATCGAAATATTTATAATAAAATATCTTTCTTATAATGATTATTATATTAGGATAATAAATCAATTGGCTAAGTTCGTTTAAGCCGACGTATTAGTTTTTCTGTATGAAGAAGGGTTGATAGTTCTGATGATGATGTTGAAGTCTCTGTTTATGTGCTTCAGCATAATATTTAAAATTAATATTTAATAATGCTATAATAATAATATATTATTTAAATACTTATTTTTAATTAATAATTATATTATTGCATAATTTCATTATTCGTGCTTATTATTATTATTATTTATTATTTAATAAAGATTTAGCAATGATATAAATGGATTTGTCAAAACTGTAGGGTTGTTAAATGTTGCTATATAAATATATATATACATTTTACCTATTTTATTTTGAACTTTTTTTATTGTCTACAGTATTTGCATACTTCTTAAATTTGAATTTTTATATTCATTTTGACCTACTCATTTTTATACATACACTTATTATCAAAATGAATTTTTTAATCAAATATTTCCATTGTTTTTGGGAAACAACAGTAATGATATGTCAAACTTCGCACTTGAAGTTTATGTTCGGTAACACTTAATGAGGCACAAAGAGATAAATAAAAATAAAATAATTTAAACAAAAGTTTTTATGGTTTTTTGTATCTTTAGACTTTCTACTAGAGTTTGAAGTTTAAATCTTCAACTTTTAAAGATATATTTCTATGATACGTTTTATGATACAGTTAAACCAGTTCAATACCAAACAAACAAAACAAACAAGTATAGGAAATTTTAAAAATATGCATTTAAATATTTTTAATGTTTATTTAACTTCAAAAAGTACAACAAATTTACCTTTACGTGTCGCTAATTGAAAATGCCAATATTTACACCAAACAATTTAGTGAATATTTTTTAGTATTTATATATACATATATAATATATATGTGTTGTATACTGCGTAGTATACAAATTGTATGGTGTATAGTGTATATATCTCAAATTGTATTTACATAATTTTCGAACAGAGGAAATGTGAAATTGTAAATAAATGTCAAATGTTAATAAGACCCGCAATGAAACTCAAATGTCAATTGAAGTGTTTGAGGTAATAATTTGTTTATATAACAATTGAATTGTTAGCATTTTGGGTAGAAAGAAGTTGAAATTTTGAAGTTGAAGTACGAGTCTCCTAGTCAAAATATGTATTTAGAAAAAATAGTTATTTGCATAGATTTTTACATAATTTATGCTTTTGATGATTGTTGATTTTTCACACAGTTAACATTTTTTTATCAAAATTTTTTTTTAAATTTATGTAAAAAACTGGTAGCAACATTAATGTTGTTAATACTTTATTCAAATTTCTTTTAACGTAACAGCTATTCAAGTATGTTAAATTGTGTTAATATTTGAATTATATAAATTTTCTAAATTATAAACCAAATAAAGCAAAACAAACTATTAACAAAATTAAGAAATATTTTTTACAATTTTAATCGTGTTGAAAATAAATTCTTGATTATAAATGTATTTTTTTGTATTTGTCTATTTTTAAAGGATTAATATTTTACCTTGCTAATATATCTCCTAACAGATTTTTGTGTAAAGAGTATCTGAAATTGATAGTTACTATAGAGTTAAAGTTTTTATAGAGTTAAATTATTGTATTAAACAAATAGGCAAATTTATTTTTTACATAATTTTATTAAATATTGAATATGATGCTGAAAATAAACGTAATCAAAATGGTTATTCGTAATAGTATGTTTTTGTGTAGCAAATTCCTATTTTAGATAAATTAATGCTGATAGCCCCCATATGAAGCTGTATTGATCTTCTTCTTTCAGCCCTTTGTGCTTGATGGGCTCTACTTTTAATATTTGACGAGGTGTCACAGATATACTTTATATATATATATAAAATATATATATATAAGTAGATTTTTTGAACAGTATTAAACTACAACAACAAAAATTAATTTTATATTATTTTAATTAATTCAATTTTTGGCTGATCATACAGCTGTTTCGAGTATTGCCGAATACCCATCATCAGTGGTCTTAAAAATAATTCTTGTATTTAATTATTCGTAAATAATTTTTTGTAACTGCAAATACCAAGAATCGTACTCGTGACCTGCAAAATTTGAAGCTCAGAGTCAGCGCAGCTTAACCAACAGTCCCAAAGCCATACTAGTCTTTTATGTTCGCACATTTTTCTGGAGTTTTGTAGCACATATATATATATATAGTACATATGTTTATACAGATGTATGTATATAGATATAAACATTGAGTTAAAACTCTCATATATTGAAAAGGGTTTAATAGCTTAAATCAATGAGATAACTGAACTAATAGTTATCATAGTTATTAGGTATCAACAAATTGGTTATTTTACTTTACTGGGTTTAGAAGATCGTTCTGTTCAAAGTTATTTAGAAAATTTTTTAACATTTTTACAGAAAATTTTATTTTTCCTAAAATTTTTATAAAGAGATTTTATACTAAAAATATACTAGTTTCTATATAATATAATAGCCACTTCCGTCTTAAAAAGAACGTTAAATTACAACTTATATTCACTAAAATTCTTATTAAATTCAGTTTTGTTTATTTTTCGTATATTAATACCTTATTAATACCTTATTTATCTGCAGCATTTTATTTTTGAAAGGAGTTGTCCAGTTACCGACTTAAATGAGTCAAGCTATTGAATCATTTTTAAAACATTGATGATTCCTTAACTAAAAGTTTTTCTCAGATAAATTTAGAAAATATTTAAAATATTTTAAATTTTAAAATATTTAAGGGATCTTCCTTTTATACAATTTATTTGTTTTTTTTTCGACTAAAGTTTTTAGTACATTTCTCAAAAATTATTTTATTACTTTAAAAAATTTAGCACGTTTAGGTTTATCAATCAGTTTAATAAACACTTTTGTAGAATCTTGCTAAATTTTTTTTGTTGTTGTTGTATGTATTATATAATAAAATTTTCCATTTAAAAGCACAGTCGTTCTTTTTATTTTAATTCTATTTTTAAGCTCTTCAAATAAATATCTATTATAACAGTAGCTGTGGCATAGTCTCAGTACTCTGCTAAAAACATAAA